GTATTCTATCAGATGCTCTGAAATATGAGTCTCCCTCCCTCCATTTCTACTAAAATTTATCAGCCATCCGAGACCAGACAGCAGTCTTCAAGTTTCAACCTAAACTTAATGGGGCATCAGAGACTCAGTTTTGGTTTATTACTGAAATGTAAGGAGAGCATCCACCAACTAAAACAAGCACCTTGTTTTATTATCTGAACATTTAAAACCTACTTGTCCCCTTAAGCTTTTCAGTGTCGTAACAATGCTTATCATTTCATTTTTGGTCTCTTGAATTTGATTGGCATTCAGTTTAGTTTCTACCTCTGATCCGAAGGTTCTCTTGGTATAGCTTCATCATTTTCTCTTCTGCTGCCTATCTTGCTTATACTTATTTGTTTTGAAATTTTTAAGCAAGCTTGTGAAGATTTATTAAGAAAGAAAAACTACAATATTTATTGTCATGGGTATCTGTTGCAGAAGTTGTGTTGAATAACACTGATGCAGTACCATGGTAACCCTACCTTCACATATTTGTGTCCTGACATCTGAATAACTCCATTTTTGTATCACGATGCATGTTAGCATTTGCTTTCTCCACTGCCCTCCTATGGGTGCCCGTGTTAGTCACAATAGGTAAAGAAAAGGGTTCTAAAAGTAAAGCTTTTCAAAGGTGCTTAATGATGATTCAACAAGTTCATCTCCACTACTGAGAAGCAATTTAAGAATTCTGCCATGTAATCTACTAAAAAAACCTATGGGGAGATTCCATAATGTGGGCTGTCTTAATTCAGGGAGCAATCAGTCATAAAACAAAATAGTGAGAAAGCAAAATGGAAAATGCACAAAACAAAGGACCTTCCAAACCAGTCCAGGCACCTTGTAAACCCAAACTAAACCCATCCTGTATCTCATATATGGTAGCCCACTAGATAGCCAACAAGAATTGGTCAAATTCCAGCATCTTAGATTGATCACACGGTTTTTACAATTCATTCAATCTCTTGACAGTCTCTTCTGAAGAAAGGAAGGACAAGGTAGCTTGAAAAAAAATTATTTTATTTTCTTTAAAAATACAGTACACAGCAGTGTGTTTCTTTCCCACCCTGTTACTGCTGGTTCACAAAGATAACATGATAAATTTAACCCCAATACTAGGCTGTTATAAATCCTGAGAGTGACTCAGTTACATGCTGATTTACATAAGACAATATGCTGAAAAAGAATAATCTTTCTTTTAACATAAAAGAGTCTCTTCCTGAACTTATGAATCAGATATAAAATTTGCAGAATAACTGTGCTGCAATGACCAGCCAAGGATTTCCCCGAAATCCTCATGGTGAATAATTTTAAGTAAAGTGGATTCTAAATTGCTATACTATACCAAGAAGTAGAAACATATTAAGTGTAATGAGCACATAGGATATGGTGTGATTTACCAAACATATTTGATACTTTGTGTTTTTCAAACCCAGTAACTTTTAACATGTAGACTTTACCTCCCAGAATTCCCCAGCCAACATGCTGGCTGGGGAATTTTGGAAGTTGCAGTTCAGATATCATAAAGTTTGCCGTGTTTGAGAAACACTGCTTTAATAGGTGGTGATGGTTGTAATACCCCTGCACTTTTATAGTTAAAGGACTTGATTCTTCCATTTGTATAAGCACTTTGTAAATGTGTTTGTTTCATTTAAATTATCCAGTTTTACAGAATCTTTGGGAAACATCCACATGTCAGCTGCATATGCTTATAATAGTACTTGGTATTACACATCTAGAAGTGTGGCATTTTTAATATCCCTAAAAAAACAAGAATTTAAGCCACCTCAGTTGTGCATTTGCATTTCCTGATGGCAGTATGTGGCAAAGGTGTATTTGAGCCAAATGACGTGGTCAGCAAAATCATGGATCTAAACATCTAGCAGAACCAGGCTTCCTTCACTTCAGATTGCAGGCAGGAAATCACTTCAATGAGTAAGAAAGAAAGGAATTAAGGACTTCCGGTGGATTTTGCGTGCGTGATGGCGGCTACTTTGTAGCCGTCCTCCTGGGTAAGTGTAAGAACCGCTATGAACAGCAGATATCAGCTGTTCAGCGGTTCAAAATCCCCCTCCCGGGCAAAGGGGGGGGGTAGAGAGTGTCTGAATAGTGGTAGAGCCTCTTTCGCACCCCCAAGTTTTTTTTTTTGGGGGGGTGAAAGGAGTGCTCCCACGGAGTTCAGACTTGTCTCCGCTTCCCAGCTGTTTTTGTCCTCAGGGACAAAACGAGCCGCCGCAAACACCTCCGTGCTTAAAGAGAACTGGTGAGTTTTTTTTTTTAAATGGACAGAGCTGAGTAGAGGATTTAGTTTTTGCTTTCTTTGACTTATTTGGATTTTAAGTTTTAAGATTTGTTTCTATTTTTATTCTCTCTTTTTATTTTTTTTCTTTGTTGAAAGGGAAAGTAAAATGGCGATCGGCAAACTCCTCGGTGTTTTTTTTTCTGGAAGTTAGAATGCTGACCGGCAGGCTTTTTGGTGTTTTTCTTTCTTTCCTTTCCCTTTCTCTTTTTATTTCCTTATGATTGGAATGGTTGTTTTTGGTATCTCTAAGTATTTTTTTTGGAACGGACTTTTTTTATTTAATTATTATTTTTTTTTTTCTTCTCCCTTTTTTTTTCCTTTGAACTCCCTTTTTTTTTATTGTAATGACCCTTTTTTGAAGGACTTTTTTTCTGTTTAATTTTTTGTAATTTTTAAGAAGGAGTAAAACTTTTTTTTAATTCTTTTTCTCTTCCTTTTTTTCCCTTTTTTCTTTTTATTATAATGACCTTCTTTGGAGGGAGTTATGATTTTTGAAGGAATTTTTATAATTTCTTAAGAAGGACTAAAGGTTTTTCTTTAAGATGGCTCCAAAGCGTCCAGGGATTTCTACAGTTTCTAAATCAACAGTTTCACCCTCTTCTGGGGGTCAGCTAATAACTATGAAGGACTTGCAAGACATGATGGGAGATGTTATAATTCAAATTAGGGCAGAAATGAAAAAGATTTTAGAGGAAAACAATAAGATCTTGAGACAAGATTTTGTTTTGGCTTTAGAAGGTGTTGCTTCTGTTCTTGAAAAGGTGAACTCCCATGTGGAAGAGGTAGCTGAAAAAGTGGACATAATGGAGGGGAAAATTGAAAGTATGGAAAAAGAAATGGAAAATGAGATTCTTATGCTTCAATATGGACAAATGGAATATGCCTTAAGAATTAGAGGCCTGGGAGAGTCTTTGCAAGGAGATCTGAAGGAGATGGTTGCAAAGGACTTTGCATTGATTTTGAATAAAGAAAAAGAGGGAATACTTAATGAAATTGAAAAATTATTTAGGGTTAACTCTGTGGTGGCAGCACAGAAGAATCTGCCAAGAGATGTGGTAATTTACTTTGGTAAAAGATCTTTACGCAATGAAATTGTGCAAGCCTATTATAAGAAGAGATTTCAAATTGCTTCACAAGATGTTATAATTTTTAAAGAGATCCCATCTAAAATTTTAAGAAGAAGAAAGGAGTTTGCTTTTTTAGCAAATGAACTTAAAAAGAGAAAAATTTCATTCAGATGGGATGTTCCGATTGGAATGGTGGTGAATTACCTGGGGACATGTTATAGACTTAATACTGTTTCTCAAGCAAAAGATTTTTATACTTCGGTCCTGGGGGTATGTGCATCGCCATCAATTAAGTTTAAAGCTTTGGAAGAAAAGAATGTAGAATCACAGTTTGAAGAGCCTATATTTATGAAAACTGGAGAATCTTTGTGTGAGAGGCCTCAACAAGTCCAGGTTGAGGAGCAGAAGACAACTTGTGCAGTATATAATCCCAAAGAAAAGCAGCAACAGAAGAAGGTTAAGGAAGTTTCATATTTAGTGGTTTCTGAATCTCTGGGAGATGTTAGACCTACAAAGTCTTTGGAGCAATCTTTAAGGGTGGAATTGTTGCCTGAAATGGAAACTGGGAAATCTCAGTCTGAGGGGCATCAACAAGAGAGGAACGGGCAGAGGATAACTTGTACAACTTACAATTGTAAAGATCAATACAAGGAGGAATTTAAGGAACCCTTATTGGCTTCGGAGTCGATGGGAGATTCAGGAATTTTGGAGCAGTCTCCTAAGGCAGAACTTGCAGCATTTCTTACGAGTTTGATACAAGAATGGAGAAGGGAAATGGAAGAATGGAAGAATGGAGAATGGAAAAAACTGGAATGTGAATAATTAATAATACTAATATAATTGAGATTGATAAGGATGTAGTTTTTTACGGATGGAATTAGTTATTGGTGAAGATTGAAATGTTTAATGTGTTTATTAACTTTGTTGTTTTAAGTTTTGAACCTTTAATGATAATATTGTTTAAATTTGTGTTTTGAAGGGATTATAATTTGCTTATTTTAGTGAGTGGATTCTAATGTTTTAAATTTTAAAAATTTGTGGTTTTGGAGGGAGTTTATATAGAGTGATGATTGTATTTAGATTTGTTTAGGATTTAAAAGTGTTTTTAGTTTTTAAATATTATTATTAATATTTTTAAGACAAAATAATTTGTTTAATTAAATGTGCTTAGATTTGTTTAGGACTTATAGGTTTTTTAAGTTTTTGTTTTTTTTTTTTTTTTCTTTTTGGATAGGAGAGAAGATTATGAAGATTGAAGGAAATATGTACTTACTTTAAGTTCTTTAAGAGTATTTAGCTTTAATGGTATAACAAAGATTTGTATGTTTATTTTTTCGTTTTAGGATAAAGAAAGAGGGAGAAATTAGATTTTATATTATAGATATAGATATTCAAAGAAAGTAATGTTTAAATTTGTGTTTTTGGAGGGAGTTTATATAGAATGATGATTGTATTTAAATTTGTTTAGGTTTTAAAAGTGTTTTAAGTTTTTTTTTTTTTTTAATTAAGCCTGTACTCAGCTCTGGGAAGTCCAGGGGAGGGTTTGGGAGGTTGGGAAGGGGGGGGGGGTGAGGTAGGGGGGGGTATGGGAAGGGGATTTGTTTTTGTAAAATGTAAAAATTTTCAATAAAAAAAAAAAAAAAAGAAAGGAATTGTAGCTATGTTAGTTGACTAGGTGGAAAAATTCAGTCTTAATGCAGTTATTACCAAATTTTAAAGTCAATGGCCCTATGCCTATCAGAAATATTGCAGCAACTGCTTTTTGTGACCTTTGTTTCTTATATTCAGAGAGATTTTAATTTGCAAAAAATTGCAAACAATATTTGTACCAATCTATATTCTGTGGTATCAGTATCAGGAAAAGGCTGCGCCATATGATTGTCCTAACACTGTAGATTTTTTTTTTAATTGCTCATGGTATCATTTAACTGATTTGTGTACTATTGAAAAAAAAATGAAATGGGAATAATTGTAGATTATCACAGATTGCCATACGGGTATTCATCTTTTTTTAAATTGGCAGTTGTACTACACAGATTTCATCTTTTTGTCTAGGGTAAAGCACTCTCTCTAAGGGTAAAACATGGATAGCTATGCCTCAAACACACTGCAACCTTTTGTTACTTTTTACTATCTACATTTGTACTTTCACGGTACAGTTAGCATTTCAATGATCATCAAAAAACAGGATTCTCTCTCTGTTGGGTTTGCTTGTATGCATATTCCAAATAATGAATAGACAGAAAACGCCCTGATCCAACTAAAGCACAGCATTTTAAGTAGTATTGTTTTAAGTGAAATAAAATCAGGTGTGTGTCTTAACTTTTTAGTAAAATAGGTATTTTAAAATATTTCATTTATGCTGGAATTCTTCCAAAAGTAAGTAATTTTGAAAATGTAACTTATATAGGTGATGCTGTGCATCTCCCCTCAATCTTAGATCGCCAAGGTGAGTTAGGCATTAATATTTGATTTTTAATAAGACTGGTGACACACTGTAAAAGTGTGTTGAATTTTATAATCACTGAGTCTTAAAAAAACATAGAACATATATACAGTTATGCATTAGACTTATCTCTCTCTCTCTTAATTCTCTTGTCTGATGCTTTCCTGGCCTATTCAAAAAGATTACCTGAGATACAGAATAAATATTTGAAAGGATGGTAACACTTTGGTTCAACTTGATACTATTTTGAAGACCGTTTTTTTTTTTAAAAAAAACCTTTTAAAAGTCTCTTATTACCTACAGAACCCAAACTAATGAAATTATAAAACATTAAATCTTCTGCCTTTCAAGATGTAAAACAGCCCAGTTTTATTTTCCCTACTGTTTTATTATTATTATTATTTGGGAGCCTATATCTTATTTTCAAGAAAGGCATAAGCAATTTTTGGCCATTATATACAATGAAGCTAGATTTGGCTAGAGAATTTTCCATGTATTAGTAGAAGAGGTGAGTTTGGGATAGGATCTTACCATGATAAAATTCCATTTTGATTCATGTCAATGAAGGAGGGAACTAATATTATAGGACACCTTTTTATAACTATTATACTAAAAGTGATAACTGCACCATGACTATATTTAAGGTGGATCACAGCAATGGAACTTTTTTGAGTGGGGGTGGGGGATAGGAAATGGAAGAAATGAAATGGAAGCCAACATATAAAGAGAGTGTTCAAATGCTGTGAATTTAGACTATTAAAAAGTGAACTGCTCCTCAAAAATCACACATTATTTGAGGCGAATGGGTTGAGATCACTGCACATGATCTGTAACTTATTCTTGTCCCTAAATCTAATGTACCTACTATAGAGTAGAGACTATAGAGATATCCTGGGTAACAGAGAAATATTGCACAATTCTATTTCATCTACTGGTCAAAGAGGAAGCCTTGGTTACAAGATAGCAATGTCTGTCATTTGTTTTACCTGCCACCCTTTTCTGTGAATCTTTATTCTCTGAGGTTTAAAAAAAACAATGGGAGGGGAGAATGATTGCTGTTTCAGCACTAAGCAGGAGTGGAGAATGGTATCAATTTAAAATAAAAGCATATAAGGTCCTCTGCCCCCACTGGGAACAAAAATATTCTAATTATTGCTCCCAATATGTAAAGGACAGAATTAAGGGCTTTGAAACTACTTTTATGTATGTTTTCTAACCTTTAGCTATTATCCACGAATAGCAATGGTATGTTACGAATGAATAGGTATATGAATATGCTGGCAACAGGTTTGGAGTTATAAACTTTCAGTTAGTGTTTGATAATAAAAGAATAATCTACCCCAATGTCTACATGTTCTCATTTCTAATCCTAACAACAGGGTACATTGAAGATATTGAAAAACTACAAAATCAACTATTCAACCACATGAAGTCAGGAAAATATCGAAATAAATAATTTGTTTTAAAATAACTATAGAATACTTATTAGAGTATAAATGGCATTTTTTTTCTTCAAAAACAGAAGCACCAGTCTTAAGAAATGTGGTATGAGAAATATGTAATAGGAAGTGCCAGTGGCATCTGAGTTCTGGATAAGATTCTTTTAGAAAAGTGTACACTGAAATCAGTTTAAATGGGAGTGTCATGCTGAATTTTGAAGACCAGATCTCCTTGGTATACAGTCTAATACTTACATGACCGTGTTAAGAAATAAATATGCCAGAACAGGGGAAATGGTATGTTTTTATGACATGCTGAGGTTCACCCTTTCCCACCCAGTCCCTAAATGGTACAATGGTTTTGATTGGAGTTGGAAAATATTCTTAACTCAGGCATATTCTTCATAGGTTGCTGTAAATTTTAATGCTGTGAGATCAGATTCTAAGACCAAATCGGTTTTTTCTTTAATATTGAAATTGTTTCAGTCATTACGAGTGAACTGTGAAAAGAGATGACGTCCAATGTAGGGAGTAGACATCCCTTTCTCCATCATGTGACTTCTGCAAAGGCTGTGATGTGGTTCTACAAAGGTGAAAAGAACAAAGCATGGAAGTCATTCAACTATAAAGATGAGAGATGCATTTTCCCACCAGCACCTACCACAGAAGATCCCACAGTTTAGACTTTAGTAGCCCTTCAGAGATTCACCTCTACGTATCTCAAGAAAATCTAAAATGCTTTACAAAATATTCCACATACATTAATTGAATCACCATTCTTAAATGACTAAGTTCTTCATACACTTAAAACGCAAGCCAAATTTTACAATTATTTTATAATAAGTAACTACAATATAAATTTTAAGAACAAACATGGCAAAATCTGGTAAATCAGATTAATACTATTTTAATTCTGCATTTGTTTTTTTTTTTAAGTTTCATAACTCCTGAAAGTGATGTAACGTGAAACAGGAGAAACTTAAATAAAAATTGTATTTACTATCCAGCAGAAGGCAAACATGTCCTCTTTCATTAATTAAAATTTCTTCTTTATTCAATCTACTCTCCACTGTTTCATTCGGCAGGATGCATCTACATATTTCTTGTGTAAACATGTTCATAAGAAAATACATGCATGCATACAAAGCATTTTAAAGGGGTAATAGGTCATTCTTATAAGGGCCAAGTTTAAGTTTAAATTGGCTTAAAAGATAATATGTAATACGTAGGCAGGTAACTTTCATAGCTACTTAAAGTACTGAACAGGGATGAACAGAGGATTTGATCTATGAAAACAGGATTCATTGAAATTAATAGATATTTTTATGAACTTCCTTATAAACGTGCATTAGGGTTTATTGATAATAGGTTCAGGTTTCTTGCTAGGGATTCTAATCTAAATCAAATCTCCTGTTAACTTAAAGCAAATATGAACTTTCCCTCCCCCCTTACATCAAAATATACAGGAATACCCTCTGGATATTGGTTAATCAGGATTTCTTGCCTCCAAAGGGCCTTGATCTGGATTGGAAATTCATAGAAATACCCACAGAAGCCAGAGATAAAGCCCTGATTAATAAACCTCAAGTGGAGAATCTTATTTCATTTGGGTTCCCTGTCTATTTTTGGGGTAAAGAAAAACAATCTGCTAGTTGTCTCTCAAGTTGTGGTAAGCAATCTAGGGATCTTCAAAAGTTTTCATTATGATTCCATAGTAGCAAAACCACTAAAAACATTTGAGAGGCACCAGACGTTATCATTTTGCTATAAAGAAACACTGTATTTGGTTGTTTGAGGCTGAATGGCAACAAGAAAAACCCTATTTTAGAATGATATGGAATTGGGGGGGGGGATTGTAAATGATTGTCCAGCCTTGTCCAGACTCTGCTTGAAGAGCTTCAGAGAATGATAGTTACTCATTTCAATAACTCGTTACTCATTTCAATAACTGGTTCTACTGTAACTTATAAAATCTATCCATTTGTATAAATTAGTCCCCTTTAAATCACGTCTTGCCCTTTAGCGCTGCACAGAATATATCTTTTCCCTCTTTCATGTGAAAGCTCTTGGGTATCTGAAGAACCCTTCAAATAATCATTTCCATCATTATGAATTTCCATTGATTCTTGCTATTTATTTAGGAACAATAAAAATGCCAATTAAAATAGTAGCGTTTGAAATTTAAGTTTCATTCATTCATTCTACCTGACAGGAGAAATAAAAAAAGGTGCCCGCAACTTCATAATTTTTACACGTGCCGCACATTTTAAAAGGGTGGGGCTTCAATTCTGGCTGTTTAAATTTTGGGGGAGGTCAGACACCCCTAACCCTCAGCCATATGTCTTCAATCACTCTTCCGTGCTTGAAACCCCATGTTTCAGTCTAGAAAGAACTGTTTTGTAGAGACTCCTGTCGGGAACATTGAGGACAACTATTGATCTAGGCTTGAAAATGCCTCCAATGGCTAATGTCTGTGTCCTTAGGATTCCATTCATATCTAGTAGTCTTAACTGTGTAATTCTAAAGTTCCTTAAAGGAGCATGCTGAAGGTTCCTGAACCTGTAACATAATTAAAAAATCAGCATAATGAGATGTAGATTTCTCTTGTTTTAATTGAAGTTGATCGTGACCATAATACTTCCCGAACGATTGATCAGGCAATATAAACCTTTTTGTGGTCGTACACTTGACTTTTGGATATATTAAGCCACCAAGCAGTGCAACAGACATGAGCCTATTGTAATGAAGCCACTGGAGTGGACGGATGGGATTTTCAGCCGTCAGAAGCCCAGAGATTGGGGGAGACACCCTTATTTTAAAACGCATCTTTTACATCTGTGGCCAGCTTGTCCCAATTTCTTTCTTAACGAGTGAAAAATTGAGCCTGCATCTTTTCTTCTTGGTAGTAAATTCCGTGGTACGTTTTTGTGCAGTGGCCACAGAATTACCTCTTCTGAAAAACACAAGGCTCCATTTTTGCATCAAATACACGTCTTTAAAAAAATGGTAGAAGAAATGCTATACACAAAGCACTCAGAGGGACATTGCAGCAAATGTGCTAAGTGGAGCAAACTCTTTCTCCTTAGAGACTCAGTGCAGCTCATTTCAAGAGCTTTCCCATATATGTATACATGCGCACGCAGAGGTATTCTGGTTCACAAGGAAGTTCTGGGTGCAGACAACCTGGGAAAATCCCTGAAGCAGCTTTTCTTCTGCAGAATGTTAAGTGTCTCCACTATGAACAAAAGTGCTTTTTTTGTAACGGTGTGTTTCATGAAGCACCTTTTCAAATGCTTTGCATTGATCTACTGGGAGATTCAAGGAATCTATTTTTAAGTCAGCCATTCCTCATTCCAGAACTGTAAAAGATATCTCCATATAGGTAGAGCTATATGGTAAAGCTTTTTGGAGTTCTCTGAGTATGAAACCTTCAATAACACCTTTTGATCTAGCAGTCAGAGCAGACACGCTGAAACCCATGCAAAAAAAAAAAAAAAATCCAGATTATATTATCAAATTCCTCAGTGAATGTTTGTTGGCACAAGCATTCACTATTAATTCACCACAATGTTGTGTTTAATTTTGTGAACAAGCAATGCACAAGTTTATATTTTTGTAACAGCAAAAGTTGTTACTAGTAAGAGCAACAAGAAAAAAAAAACATGCACAGCAATAGTTATTTCCAACCAATATATCACTGGAGATGATCCTGTGATCCACTGGTATGAAGAGCAAACTGGAAGAGCAAGAACTATAAAATATCACTATTAAAATAACAAAATATATTGAAACTGAACCTTAAGTGCTGGTTTCCATTTTTAAAAATAGAAACCATACTTATAGCAATATGCCAAATAATGATTCTTGCTATTTGAAATAGCATTCCATTCATGTAAAGTACATTTTGACAATATTAGTAATTTATAATATAAATCTTCAGTAATGCACAACTTACTAATCATTTTGAGTATGGACAAGCATACAGAACACAGGATATAATTTATCTGGTACTCCTAGTCATGTTACAGTCTGTGCATTTCGTTAAAATGCAGCATTAAACTGCATTTGACTATACATGTCATCTCAGTTTTTAAAATAGTGTAAAATATTTTTCTCCCGACTTTGCAGGAGATAAAGAGTAGCACAGAATAAAAATGCCATTTCACAAACTTCTGTTTCTTAGACAGACCCCTGCCTGCACTGAAGGTTCAGATATGTCCCTTGCAAGCCAGCGTTTAAACACACCAGTGCGCTTGTTTGCACACATAACTTTATTGCCTTATATGAAGATGTTCAAACTGGTCCATTCCTGTTATCCAGGAGAATAGCCTAAAGAGCTGGGCTTTAAAAGAGTGTTCTTGCAAAGGTTCTTCTTGACCACGATTAGTACCTGGGTTCTGTAACATGTACAATAATTGCATCACTTGAATCATGTCTGGACAGCTTTCATTTTTCTTCATCTTACCAGCAGGTAACATAGAATGAGGAGGGCTTTGTTTTTAGTTTTAACATAAATAAAAAGTATATATAGGCTACTCTCTGAGGATCAGTACTGAAGGAGGACAGATATATTTGAAAAGAGTAGGAGTTCAAGAGCTATGTATAATCAATACGGTTATCCTATACTTGGCGTGTAAAACATTTAGATTTTGTTTATTTGTAGGAAAGTAACAATGCAAACTGAATGTCACCTTTAAAAAGTGTTGGTAGAATTATTTTTTACTTATGCATATCCACCAAGATTAATGTATTTGAGAATTACATGTTTCACCGGTCTAACACATTTTCATTTGCAAACAGACTGGATATGACCGATGGCGCTCAGGGGTTCAAAGGTCCATATGGACTTTTCCTTTCGCCATGCTGCCAGCCCCACATTATCTTTTCCATATATGCATATAAATCATCATCTTTATTTCTCAGCATTTCTCTGGATTTGGAAAAATCCCAAACCACAGGTATGCTTTAGTTAAGGCTGAAAGCCAGCTTGGTGTAGTGGTTAAGGCATTAGGGTAGAAACTGGGAGACTTGTGAATTCTAGTCCTCCCTTAGGCACAAAGCCCCCTAGACCTTAGGATAGTTGTTGTTGTTGTTAGTTGCGAATTCATGTCCGACCCATCGTGACCCCACGGACAATGTTCCTCCAGGCCTTCCTATGCTCTACCATCTTCTGGAGTCCATTTAAGCTCATGCCTACTGCTTCGGTGACTCCATCCAGCCACCTCATTCTCTGTCGTCCCGTTCTTCTATTGCCCTCAGTCTTTCCCAGCACTGGACTCTTCTCCAGTGAGTCCTTCCTTCTCATTAGGTGGGCAAAGTATTAGGATAGTTACCCTCCCCCAGCTCTGGGAAGGAGGCAATGGCAAGCCACTTCTGAAAAATCTTGCCAAGTAAACTGCAAGGACTTATCAAGACATTCCTAAGGAAGCATTCTGTGACTAGACAGCACAAAAAAGGGGGGAAGGGGCATGGAGACTGAAAAATTGTGACTGATCCAAATACACCCAGCTGACTTTATGCCTAAGGCAGGACTAAAACTCTCCATCTCCTGGTTTCTAGCCCAGTGCCTTTAATCATTAAACCAAAGTGGCTCTCATTTAATCACCCACAAAATTTAAAAGGTTTGCGAGTATAGTCCACAAAGTCAGGAAAAAGTGCTAATGTTAAAGGGAGTGTCTGTGGAGGGATGAACCAATAGATTTCTGATAAAATTATGCCTTACTACACTGTACTACAAAAAAAGATTGGTGCCCCTATGTTACACTTCATGTCAATGAGCTGTTCTATGATTTGATTTCTGAAAAGCAAGATTAATAAACTAATTCTGTCAGTTCATACATGTTTATAATACACACTTTAGGGAAGATTTTGCTATCTGAGTCATTATTTTTATCTGTTTAAAGTTGCTATTTTGACACCATTGCCTTATTGTCCTTAAGTCGACTGAGGCAGAATATAAATGGGTATTAAATAAACAATAAATAGGTAACCAAGTTAACTCACTGGTTTAATATCGGTTATAAATCAAGCAATGTACAATTAAGTACAGGTGGTTCTTTTACTGACCACTCATTCAGTGACTGTTCAAGCTTATGATAGCAGTGAACAAGTAGTCGTTACAACAGGTCCTCAAAGTTCCAGCCATCATATCCTGAGGTCACATGTTCGTGATTCGTGACCTTCCCTTCCCACTGAAGTCAGAAATCACAATCCTGTAAGGTGCTCAATCATTCATTCAATTTCTATAGCTGCCGGTCTCAGTCAATGACTCCAGGCAGCTTACAATTTAAAAAAAAAAACACACACACACATTACAATTAAAAATACTAAAAACATTTAAAAATAATAACAACAGGAAAAAAATAAAAAAAAACATCCAGATTAAATACACCTAGGAGCAAGGTACTTGGCCAATCTCTGACGGGAGGATCTTCCATGGAGCAAGGGCACTGCAGGAAAAACTCATTTTCTGGTCCCTTCTAGCTGACACTTTTTGGCTGATGGGATCTGCAGCATACCCATTATTCTGCTCCATTTGGTCGGATAGGTAGAGACTCTTGGAAAAAAGGTGATCCCTCAGGTACCCTGATCCAAAGCCACGTAGGGCTTTAAAGGTAACCACCAGAACTTTGAATTGCATCCAGAAACACACGAGTAACCAATGCACCTCACGCAGAAGTGGTATTACATGTGCGGTGTATCTGGCACCATTTACTACAAGCAGCATTCTGAACCAGTTGAAGTTTCCAAATGACCTTCAAGGGCAATCTCATTTGGACTCTAAACCAAGGGTTACAAGGGCATGAGTTATTGTGAGCAGGGCCTCCCAGTCCAGTTATGGGCACAACTGGTGCACCACCCAAAGGTGTGTAAAGGCCCTCCTAGTCACAACTGCCACCTGCTCTTTCAGCAGGATCCACAAGTCCAGGAGGAACCTTAGCCTACATAGCACATGTCTGGGATAGTGCAACCCCATCCAGAATCAAAGATGTAGGAGATGAGCAGGCTGAGCCTGAGGCAGGGGTTAAACATGTCATAAGTCACGAGTCCCTGTGTGCACACAACAGATCTAAGTCCAGCCCACCTTAAATGCCTCTCTTAGTTCTGCTTATTTCCCTTAAAGGCCACTTGGTCAGATTCTTGTAGAAAGCTTAAGCTTGCAATAAATCTTTATACTCATTTGAACTGCCTGAATCCCCTGATTTCCCCAGTGCTTGACAAGAATCTTGTCTCTAGGGGGTTGAGAAAAACCAAGTTTGAATCCACTTTCAGCCATGGAAGCTCACTGATTACTTTGATCCAATGCCTATCTCTCAGCCTAGCCTACACTAAGGATTGTTGTAGGGAAAATTTGGAGGAGTAACTGTTACATGTACCACTATTGAGTTCCTAGGAGAAATGTGAGATAGCAACCTAAAGAAGTAATAATAAAAATAATAATAGCAACAACAGAATTGGATTGACTTGGATTCTGAATAAAGTGTCTGATGTAATGATGCCTACGTAGGGAAAACAGGCTATGAATTGGTTCCTTTTATTCATGCATTTTTTTTAAAAAATGAACATTTAGCTGCCCTACAATGTTAATTTGAGCAAACAAAAGCCTTTATTTTGACATCTCATAGGAAGCTAACAGAATGGATTATACAAAAAGATACACCCATCAACCAGATGCTTGCTTGAGCAAATGAGATGGTGAAACAGGTTGATTTCCGAGATGAAACTGAATAGAATAAAGACTTTGACAACATTTCATACTCTGCTATAACTGCCATGGTTTTTAGGTAAAGCAAATTGAGGGGGTTACCTTAAGGAGAAAAGAAAACCAAGAAACAAAATCTCTTACGTCCCAGCCCTATGCCATTTATTTATCCATTTCCCACCTTATTTATTATTTGCTTAGTTAAGTGGTGAACAAACCTAATATCTTTCTTCCTCTTATTTTCCCTGCAGCAACAACCTTGTGAGGTGGGTTGGGCTGAGAGAGAGTGACAGGCAGTTTTTCATAGCTAAAATGGGATTAGAACACACACCCTCTTGGTTTCTAGGCTGATGCCTTAACCACTAAACTGAACAAGCTCAATTTACACACAAGCAATCTCAGGCATTCATGCAAGATGCCCACATCCTACTATGTAACAACCACTCAAGTCTGTCAAATGGCCAGGGGCATTTGGGGTTTAAAAAAAAAAACCAAAAACTCCAAAGTGCATATTAGTGTTCAAAGCAATCACTAATTTTATGCAAATAGCCTCCTGCAAACACTCCTCAAACAGAAGCCTTCTAGATAAACGCACAGCTAGGATGTTTTAGGGCACACCTCAATATGTTTAATGTACATTTAAGAATAAAGGGAAACAAGTTAAAGAGACAGTCTTTATATCCAGTTTGTGATAAAATTACATCAATTTACTTATTAGTCCTTTCCACATACGTTCCACGTCATTTGAACAATTAAACGCATATAAAAAGTACATTTGTGTATATGCAGTCTTTTATACAGCCACAAAACCATCACTGGGCAACTAATGTATCCCTTGAACTGAGAAGTTTGGACACACTGAAGAATTTTAACTGATATTAAATTAATTAACTGAAGAGAATGTTTCCATGCCGACTTCATGATTTTGTGAGAGGAAGAAGGCTGCCTCTTGTGACAAACTGATTTAACAGCACGATACAAATTTAGCCTTTTTTCTTTATACTGCATTTTCTTCATGGCCTCCTACAATCCTTGAGAAGATAAAAAGCGTTCCTAGTCTCCAGACCACCATAGTTTATGATGTGGACTTGAAGATTTGTTTCTCTTACAAAAACTAAGCAAGGCAATCATTCTACCTCAGATTCACCACAAAAGTTATCAATTCACCACAGGCCTTACCTTTACTACAGAATGTTCTACCCGAGGGATGCTGATCATAGACATCTGTCCCAGATTGTCCAAGTGTGACTGTTCATGTTCTGGTTGTCTACCTCTAAAATTATTAACCACACATACCACCTAGAAAGAGAAGAAAGTTCTTAGATACTATGAAGCCATTATGATATCTGGGTCTTGACAGAAATACCATTATAATTAAACTGTACAGTTTCCAAAATATATTCATCCCTCCAAAAGCTGTAATTTAAATACACCGTAACTTTAGGTAATTATAAAGCCAGTCTAGTGGAAGTGGAATTCTCCATGTTATTCCTGGTGCTTAAAACAAAGTTTTCAAATACTTAGGTGATATTTCCAAACTAATATACTTGCAGAGGATGCAGTTTGATAGAATGTGACCTTAAAAACTGAACATCTTTGAATTAAAATAGAAACATGTCAGTATAAGAATACCGATGATGCTGGAATTCTGGATTCTCAGGCCCGAGAAAGTCATTTTATAATTAAGGGACTGATAATCCTGGAAAGAAACAACTCATTGAAGATAGAATCAAAAATGCAAGAGAAAGAAGCCATGTCCACATGGAAATGATAATGGCAGTAATAAAAAGAGCTCTTTAAAAATTACTCTCTGAATAGAACGGTCTAATAGTAAAAAGCTCATAGATGGAATAATGCAATACCATACGATTACTTTAGCTGGGTAAGGCGTAATAAACAGTTGTACTTATTGAAATTTGTCATTGTGCGAATAGCCTGTATTCTGATGGATTAATGAAATGGTGGATCCTACAGACAGTCAGACAGGTAACAGGTAGAAGAATGTGAAGCTTATACATACCAAAAACACAGCTATTGAAATACCGACTAGAAATCCTGCTATCACATCTGACCAGTGATTTCGATATTCTGCTACTCTGTTGATACCAGCGAGAAATGCCATACACATTATGCTCAAGCAAAGGACTGGTTTTGCCAGCCTGGTCCCTCTAGCCTTTATCGTGTGGGTGATGTACATCTAGGAATAAAAAAATTAAAAAAAAGATAACAAAAATAAATGCAACGCAATATCCATCAGTTTTCATCTAGTTATTGAGGAATTTGAATAACTGTCCCCATTTTGGAAGAGTAATGATTTTTAAAAAAATCATATAAATTAACATTTACACCAGGAATCCAAATAAGCTATTGATTTATTTACTGGATTTCTACCCTGCTTTCGGACTGAAATCAATTGCAACCTTGAAAATGATGCTTTTTGGGCCCCACTCCCACCCCCTGGTTGAGACCGGTGATAAATACAGAAACGGACACAATCCACGATGAGTGAGAACCAGGTACAGGTAATTCTCAACATTTCTGCTGATGAGCAAAAAAAAAAAGTTGTTAACTGGGTTTTGCCCCATTTTATGACCTTTCTTGCCACAGTTATTAAGTGAATCCCTCTAGCTCAGTGTTTCTCAACCTTGACAATTTTAAGGCATGTGGACTTCAACTCCCAGAATTCCACACCCAGCAATGCTGGCTGTGGAATTTTGGGAGTTGAAGTCCACATGCCTTAAAATTGTCAAGGTTGCGAAAAACACTGCAGCTGTTAAGTTATTAACCTAGTTGTTGAAGTGAATCTGGCTTCCCTGTTGACTTTGCTTGTCAGAATGTTACAAAAGATGGGCCATGTGACTTTGAGACACTGCAACCCTCATAACACATGCTGGTTGCCAAGCGACCGAATTTTGATCATGTGACAACAGGGATGCTTCAACAGCCGTTAAGTGTGAAAAACAGTGTACTGAGTCACTTTTTTCAGTGCTGTTTTTTAAAAAACTTTTTAAAGTCACTAAATGAATGGTTATAACTCAAGGGCCGCCTGTATGGTTATCGCATTCCTCATTTGTGTTAGACTCCTCCCACTTCCCACAATGCATTTGGTGGCACAGTTCTCAGTGCATAGAGATTAAGAGTTATACCTATCTGGGCTTATTTATGTACATGGCCAAAATAATACCACACAAACAGATAATTTCCTTGAATAATTTGACCGCATAAACTAACAAGGAATTCTGAAAATAACAAGAAAAACGAATCCTGCTTTTGTATCTAATACCTTTGAGGCACATTTAGCAATACTGGACAGGAAAGGCACTTTTTTACTTGCATTTTCATGTACACTCGGTGCAATTAACATTAGGCAAACCATGTTGTGTGCAGACAAGTGTGATTGAAATTGTTCAGTTAATGAAAAATATTTATGCTGGCTAAATATCTCGCAAGACACAGTCTAGCTAGCAATCTTGTCAGAGTTTTATGGCCATCATCCAACACTGCTGCACTTTAAAGCGAAATGAATAGATTGAAAGCTCAGAATTCCATTAAATTAGAACTTAACTCTTTTCTTTATTGTTTGGCAAAAATGTGTTCACTGTAGGCAAGAATTAAAAATAAATAGCAAAGTGCTATGAGATACATGTTGGTGGTTTGCTGTTTCCAGTCACCAGATGGAACATAAGTACAAAATTTGTCTTTCTTGATTTTGATTATTTTTTTTATGCCCAGATACTTGCTTAATTCTAATAAAAATCCAGTGAAAGACACTATCATTCCAGTTTTATATATGATAAACTGAAAACAAGCTACAGATGCATTGCAGATGTTTTTAGTTACAATATTTATATCACACTTAAAACCTAACATGGAACAGAAATAAAGGAATATACACAAAGTAGACATATTTAAAAAAAACGTAGGCAACTATATTTAAGGGAATAATGGAAATACCAAATAGATAACCACCTCAAAATTAAAAGAATAAACTTGATATGCAAAAACTACTAACAGCTTATACTAGTTAAAGCAGGTAAATGATGGAACTGCACCATTAGAAAAAAAATAAAGCAAGCACACTGTAAAGAAGGCCGCTTGGAAAGCAAAACAGTAGTTAAAAAACAAGTTCCTACTAAACTATCAAGATCACGAGAGGTATTAGTACCACTTTATAAAACCCTAGTGAGACCACACCTGGAATACTGCAGCCAATTTTGGTCACCATATCACAGAAAAGATGTTGAGAGTTTGGAAAAAATTCAGAGAAGAGCAACTACGATGATCAAAGGCCTGAAAACTAAAACATATGAAGAACAGCTGCGGGACTTGGGCATGGCTAGTCTAAAGAAAAGAAGAAACAGGGGCAACATGATAGCAGTATTCCAGTATTTGAGGGGCTGCCACAAAGATGAGGGGGTCACGTTATTCTCCAAAGCACCAGAGGGCAGGACGAGAAACAATGGTTGGAAACTGAACAAAGAGAGAAGCAACCTGGAATTAAGGAGAGACTTCCTGACAGTGAGGACAATTAACCAGTGGAACAGCCTGCCTCCAGAAATCGTGGGCGCTCCATCACTGGAGGTTTTTAAGAAGAGGCTAGACCAGTGGTTCTCAACCTTTTTAATGCTGCGACCCCCAACCGGTCGTAAGTCGAGGTCTACTCAACCGGTCGTAAGTCAAGGACTACTCAACTGGTGCAGCACTGTTTGCAGAATGGGACTTTTGGCGGGCTCAGCAGGGCAGAGACAGCCTGGACAATTCCTATTGGCTTTTGAAAGCCAATAGAATTAGACTCTATTCAAGAGAGTCTATTCTATTGGCTTTCAAAAGCCAATAGAATAAAAGGGAGTAGCACAGCTAAGGAAAAGGGGAAAAAAATGGCGGACTGCGTTGTTTGGCGACCCCCGTGAAATGGTCGTTCCACTCTAAATGGGGTCCCGACCCACAGGTTGAGAACCACTGGGCTAGACAGTCACTTGTCTAAGATGGTATAGGTTCTCCTGCTTAAGTGGGGGGTTGGACTAGAAGACCTCCAAGATCCCTTCCAGCTCTATTCTATTCAAACTATTCAAATTCAGACCATCCATACCTGGGTTATTAAAGCCAAAGGCCTGTGGATTATGCTATTCTTCCACTCAGGATAAAAGGGTGCTGTAAGACTAGTTTGGTTGAAGAGGAAATCCTCCATCTACAAAGTGGCAGATATGCCTTGCTGAAGTTATGTGCGGCCAACTGGAAATGCTCTAATCCAAATGGATGGGAACATTCAAGCCAATGTAGGGAGAGAAAGTATAGCAAAATCAATAAAAGGTGATATCCATTTCTGCCCTCCAGAAATGGTTGCCCGCCAGTTTTGCCAAGGGGATAAGAGAAATGTCCAGATCTGTTAAAAACTGCAATTTGAATCAAGGTTTTCCAGCGGCATGATTGACATCACTCTTTATACACTCCTGAAATTATAGCTATTTACTAGTAAGCCAAATAGGAAGCTTGACATAGCAATAGAGGCACATTAATGTTCATTTCAGATCTCTTTCTTTCTTTCTTCCCGGTTTGCTGGAGAAAAGGTGATGGAGTTAGACCCAGTCATAGAGCAATTTATTATTGCTTCCTATGCAAAGTACTCACAGCTAAGCTGGAAACTCCCTTAATATTTTTATCTTTATTGCAAGGCTGTTTTAAAAATATTCATGAGAAAGAGAGGGAGGAGGAGACAGGTAATGGTAATTAATGTTAAAATTCCAGACCCTTATAGGGGCAGGACACCTAATCATCCTGCTTATAACATTTTTGCTTAAAAAAAAGGAGGGGGGAAGAAAGAGAGAAAAATTAGGTGTATCTTGTCTGAAAGTGCTGAAGCTCACCACCTGCTTGTGAAATAAAGCTTTTTATGAACAGCAAGCTATCGAAAATAAGTCTGCCTAAAATTGCCGGAATAAATCAGTGGTTAAAAAAAGACTGCATCCTAAATCACACCCTTCCATCTTCCTCCCCTCATTTGGAAGGCAACGTGATTTTCACTTCACAGCTCTTCTTTCATCTCTTCTGTTCAAATTGCAGCAGACACTCCCTCTCTGCCAGGTTAGGTTGGAATACTGATGATTTAAAAAAATGGTTCTCATCTCCACAAACAGCTCGTCTACCAATAAACTCTCAAACCACATTAGAGATGGATTGCTCAAGGTCTGACTTTAAGACAACTCCATACTAGTTTAAGGAGACATCACACCAGCTAAAGTTCACCATGGTATCTTGTAGCAAAGTAAACAAGTGTGAAAATAATTTTTTGTTTTTAAACGTTCTCTGTATAAAGTTGACGCCCCTTGGCTGTTCCCTATTGCTCAGGGATTGTTTTGTCCATGCCTTAAAATATTGCAGGAGCAAACAAATGTGGATTAGGTAATCAATGACCTCTCCAGTAGAAGTAATAGAGGAGTAATTGCCAGCCAATACAAAAGAAAAAAGCAACAGCCTGTGAAAATACTTTTCCAGCTGCTGACTTATCCACAGTTGTCTGATGCTCTTTACACTTACAAAGGCTTATTGTCTCACGACTAAATTCTACTCTACGGCTTGCTACAGAGCAGCGTGCAGTAGATTGGACTGCAATCTGCAGAAAACAACCTGCAAAGATTTTCCTATCCACAGTCAAACTACTTTTGTCACAATTAAAAAAAAAATCTATTTCTATGCATCTAATAAATCAGGGGTCCCCAACCCCCGGTCCATAGACCGGTACCGGGCCGCAGCATGCCAGTAACCGGTCCACACAAACAAGCAAAGTCCCATCCTCAAGATGCAGGCAGCACACAAAACCACGCCCCTTCCAGTCTGCGAAAAAACTTCTCTCCACGGAACCAGTCCCTGGTGCCCAAAAGATTGGGGACTTCTGCACTGGAGCATGAAGATGTCTGAAGACTTCAGCTAGTTAACTGGGCTCCATTATAAGCGTCTTTTTTCCATTGTGTTTAGATTTTTTTTTTCTCTCTCCCAATTCTGGGCTGTATCAACAGACTTACTCTCAGGGGTTTTTGTTTTGCCCACATGACAAAGAAAGATGCTTTGGTTATTTTCCCTTTTAAAAATGTCTTTAAATCATGAGGTTCATGTAGGAGAAGGAATAGTGGAACCTGGGAACAGAGTTACGAATCCTTATGAAGCCACAAGCAGATCATATCCACCACCACCCCTTTGAAT